CAGGCTGACAGGTCTGTAATTTCCGGGATCCTCCTTCCAACTCTTGCCAACTTCCAATCCTCTGGGACCTCCCCAGTGAGCCAGGACTGTGGGTAAATGATGGAGAGAGGCTTGGTGAACTCTTCTGACAGCTCCCTCATCACCCTGGGATGGATCCCATCTGGTCGCATAGATTTGTGAGGATCCAAGTGGCTAAGCAGATTACTAACCATTTCCTCTCGGATTTCAGGGAGGCTGTTTGGCTTCCTATCTCTGTCTATCAGCTCCAGAGTCCAGTTGTCCTGAGGGCAACCTGTCCTACTATTAAAAACTGAGGCAAAGAAGGTGTTAAGTACCTCAGCCTTTTTCTCATCTTGGGTCACTCTGTTCCCTCCCACATCCAACCAGGAATGAAGGTTTTCCTTGCCCTTCTTTTTGTTATTGATGTATTTATAGAAACACTTTTGCTATCCCTGACAGAAGTGGCCAGATTTAATTCAGATTGTGCCTTTGTCTCTAATTTTCTTCCTACATGACCTGACTCTGGTCTGATCCTCTGCTAAAGGCAGGGCTAGCTGCAGAACTAGAGCAGGTTGCTTAGCATTTTGTCCCTTTGACTTAAGTTCTCCCCATCCCTGGGGGTATTCAGTATCCTCTATGGGTGCCTGAATCAGGGCACACTGTTTCTCATGGTATTTTTTCCCCAAATAATTATCTGCAACAACTCCTCTGTAGTGACCTATCAAGTAGTTGAAAGCAGCAGTTACAGGTCCCTGTTAGCCCAGTCTTTCCCAACCTAAACAAATCCAGTGCTCCTAGTCTTTCTTCATACAGCCTGTACTCCAGCCTCTCACTTCCCCCTCACAGCTGGATATGCCCTGTTAAAGCAATGTCCTTCTTACATCAGAGGCTCAAAACTGGACACAGTACTTTATGTTTACTCTGTAGATACAGTCATCTTCCCTTCCTACCTAACTTCAGTCTAGAGTCTTGTATTCCCCCTGTAATGTGGTTTTATAACCAGAAATTAAGAGATTTTGTTCTTAACATGAAGCAACAAACAAACAAACTTGTTACCCAGTTACATAGACTGAGAAACCTTTGTGTGAAGTATTCATGTGGCATAAAAGAATTGAAGGAGGCATTGACTTTATTAAAGATAGAACATCTTGAACTACTGAACCATGGTTAGCATCAGCTGCTGTCACTGTCTTTGGCTTAGCCAGCTAAAAGGATTGTCACATTTTTCCCAGAACCTTTTTGTTCAAGCTCCAGAGATTGTCACAGATTGTAAACCTATTGTTGTGGATACAGGGCAGGTTTGGTATTGATGTGTATCTCTGTTCTAATGAGGGTTAGATTAGAGTCAAGAGTTGTGGAAGCACATTGCGAAGGGCAGTTGGACTTGCAAGATAACAGACAAAAATAAAACACGTTTTCTAAATCTAAAATTAGGCTTATGTAGCTACACATTGCAGAAATATCACAAGCAGTTCCATTATTAAAAAAAATTGTGGTGTCTTGGGGTGTCATTATGACATTGTCTGAGCTTCTTGCCTGGAGAAAAGAAGTGCTGACTCTGAATTGTTTCCAAGCAACATTTCTGAGTTGCAAGTTGTGCAGCAAGAGCTCTGTATTTATCCACCTCTGGAATGTGTTAATTGAAGAAGAAGGAGTGTCCTGTCTTCTGCTTGTTCTTAGTATATTAGGACTTCCTTAGTTTGTTTAATTCTTAGCACTGTCACAAACGTTTGTTATCTGATCCTCTGTTTCTAATAACTTGTGACGCTGTTGGTCATTTCTGGCCTCTGCAAAAGCTGTAATTCCTACAGATATTCTGTTAATACACTTTTCATTAAAAAGGGCTGGTTGTAAGAAGAGAGAGATTTTGATCTCCCTGGACTGTGTAGAGAGCTCATACCTCTGACTACTGGACAAGCTATATGATAACTCAGCCTGGAAATCCAATCTTTAGTCCCTTTTGGGTCTCTGTTTAAATTCAGCTCACTGCCAAAGCTGAGTCAGTAAATAAACATGCACTCTGAGTCCCTGCTGACACTTGGCTTTTTTTCCCCCCCCATAAACAGTATGAAGTTGAAGAGCTGCGACGGAAGAAGGAGATCACCATTCGGGGCATGGAGGGCTGCCCCAAACCCGTGTTTGCCTTCCACCAGTGTAGCTTTCCACGTAAGTATTTTGGTACTGTAATATCATGAGGGTTACTCAGAACAGCTTGAACAGTTAGCTGGTTCTGTTTTCTGAATGCTCTTCTAAAGACTCAGTTATCCTTTAAGAAATGTTTTCTTTTCTCAAATTCTGAAGAGTATGTGATGGATGCCTTGATGGACCAGAACTTTACGGAGCCCACTCCAATCCAGTGCCAAGGCTTTCCGCTGGCGCTCAGTGGTCGTGACATGGTGGGCATTGCACAGACTGGCTCTGGGAAGACACTGGCAGTGCGTATTCTTCACTTCTCTTTATTTATTGAACTGTCCTGGTTGCTTTGCAGAAATAACCTACATGTTAGTCGTTTCTGGGCTTGCTGGTACCACCTAAAGTGAGGTGATGACATGTTTTTCAAGCTTGCTTTATTGCATCATGATGAGACTTGAGTTTCAGCCCAACTAGCCTGTTGTACTCACAGGCATATATTTTGTGTGTGGCTTCCGTTCTGGATGCTTAGTCACTTCTCTTTGGTCTGTGCTGACAGTGCAGTTTAAAAATCAGTGTGTTCTCTTTAGCACATTTGTTTTGTTATCTATGCAAGTTTAAAAAATGGTTAAGTCTTCAGAGCATACATTATTTTATCAGTAACCTTCAAAAGGTTTTTTTAATCCTCTATGAAAAGCATTGGTTAGGCCAAGATTGTTCAGTTCTGCTAACTTAGACTCCAGATTTAAATGAGTCTTCCTTTCAGAGGTGCTGAGCAGCTATATTTTGTGCTCCTGTCAAAGCAGGTATGGTTGGTCAGCTCTGAAAACCTTCTGTACTGTGGATGTGATTTTGCAGAATCCTGATTTTTATGTATTACAGAATACTGTTTTCTTCTCTTTTAGTACTTGTTGCCTGCAATTGTTCACATCAACCACCAGCCGTATTTGGAGAGAGGGGATGGCCCAATTGTAAGTGCTTGTTGATTCTCTTCCTTTCTCTGTGTGTGGCACAGCATTGTTAATGACATGTGCTTTATTTAATTGGCGTATCAGAACAGTCAGCAGAGGAATGTTTACTGTCACAATGTGAACATCCCACTCAGTTGAAATTCTCTGCAATTGCTGACATAGACTAAAGATATTTAAATGTTTTAGCTAATAAAGAGCAGATGGTCCAGCTTTGCTTCTGGTTTTAAGTTAGGGATGTGTGTGCAGCTTGACTATCCTGAGTCAATTCCTTTGGCAGTGTCTGGTTCTGGCACCTACTAGAGAGTTGGCCCAGCAAGTGCAGCAGGTGGCTGATGATTATGGCAAGTGTTCAAGACTGAAGAGTACCTGCATATATGGAGGAGCACCCAAAGGCCCCCAGATCAGAGATCTAGAAAGAGGTAATTTTAAAATGGGTGTTAGCAGTGTCTGGGGCATTGTACAAGCTCTGGACAAATAAAACTCTTAAACCCTGTTTGGAAGGGGGTGAGAGTGGATGAGTGGCTGTCTCTTTCTCCATTTGCAGTGATCGTTCATGAGGTAGTTCTCTTTATGATGTAGGGACTTGGGTGTTAGACTTCCTTTCTGTTTTTTCTTTGAACTTCCCACTTGTGAAGGTCATCAGAATGTAGGAAGGGGAAAAAGAAACTTTCCATAAAGAGAAGAGGTCGTTTTGAGGAAGTGCCGTACCAGCAAGTTCAGGGAAGGATTTTTCTTACAGCAGATTTCAAGTTTTCTGCCTAGGTTTGTTCAAATAATCAAGCTTAGTTTCTGAATGCAGAGAAGGTTCTTTGGACAGCAGGTAGGGGTGTGTATTTTTGTTTGGTTGCAGGTTTTTGTTGGGTTTTTTTGATTGTTCTGAAGCACTAAGCCCCATTTCTGTTTGTGTACCCTGCAATGTTCTGTAATTGCTTTTCTATACTTAGCAGGGAGCTGGACTTGGGGAGGATGAGGAACCTTCTACAGCAAGCACAATAACACAGTAGTGCTTGAGTAGTCTAACCTTCATTTCAAGGGCTACTTACATACAATTTCAAATGCAGGGATGTGCTGATGGCTTTCATCTTCACTAGACTGAAAAATGTAATAGAATTGTGGGAAGAGGTGTAAGAAGTATTATCACAGTAAGCTGATACATCCAGATCTGTTCAAGAAATCAGAACATTTTACTTACCATGGCAGTTTGCAGAGTCATATTGCCAACTGCAGTAGTGGGGTGAAAGGATGCCTGGTGGAAGTCTGGGGGGTGGCTCTGTTCACGAGGGCAGTAGTGCATTCCAGTTCAAATGTAGCATCTTCAATGGAAGAGTCAGAGGTTACATGAAGAGTCCTTGTGGGAGTATCAGCTTGCTGGATTTGTGCACACCTTTCTGGAGTGCTTCAAAATAGATGCTCTGCTTGTGAAAACCTTCTTCTCCCCTGTTCTTCCTTAAACTTTCCTTCTGTGGACATTGCAGTCACACTGGAATACTCACCTGTAAGATTTGGGAATTGGTGGAAACTAGACCCTTCTTCTGAGGAATGTGTAAATTGGTAAACCTGATAGTAGTTGATGAATATTTGAACTCTGTGCTCACAAATACAGACAGGATGGTTGTCTTTCACTGTTTGGGGCATAACTTCTCAGTGTTAAAGCCCATGCTTTGGTTTTCTGTATCTTAAAAAAAGTGGCAGTAATTTGACCTGTATAGCAAGAGAACTTCATGTTTGATTAACATGGGAAGTTATTTTTCTAGACACCTCTGTAGACTGCATAATTCTGGATGAAGGTGAGCTTCAGGCTTGAGTAGCAGCTTGTTTTCCTTCTGGTTTTTGGACAGCTCTTCACTGGTGTTTTTCTGGCAGTAAGCTTTTAGCTTCTGTACTGCATTTATTATTCTAATGGCACTGTAACAGTAATTTCAGAATGGAAAAAATATGAAAAGAAACTAGGGCTTCTACTGAAATGACTCAATCTTGGGTACGAATGAGGGTGGTGCTTTTTTTTTTTTTTAAACAATTTTGCTCTGGAAGGTGATTCATTCTGACTAAAAATACCAGTTGACATTCAGATGAAGAGCCTTACTCTTTTCCCTTATTCTGCTCTGAAGGTGTGGAGATCTGCATTGCTACACCAGGTCGCTTGATTGACTTCCTGGAGGCTGGAAAGACCAACCTGCGTCGGTGTACGTACCTGGTGCTGGACGAGGCAGACAGAATGTTGGACATGGGATTTGAACCCCAGATTCGTAAAATTGTTGACCAGATCAGAGTGAGTGACCCTTGTAAACAGTTGTAAACTCTTTTGTTTTCCTGCTCCAAGCCCAGTTCCTTAATAAACCCATTTTCCCTTTCTCTCAGCCTGACCGGCAGACTCTGATGTGGAGTGCCACCTGGCCAAAGGAGGTGCGCCAGCTTGCTGAGGACTTCCTGCAGGACTATGTGCAGATCAATGTGGGAAACCTGGAGCTGAGTGCCAACCACAATATCCTACAGATAGTGGATGTGTGCATGGAAAGTGAGAAAGACCACAAGTGAGCTGATTTTCCTACCATTTCGCTTGCTTTGGTTGTACTTAAAAATCTGCATTGCTTTGTAAGGCAGCTAGAAATTCCAAATAGTGTAGTTACTTGTGGTGTTATTTAACCTTTTGAGTGTTAAAAAATAAGTAAGTCCTGTAATTAGTCTATTGTGCATGTTCTAACCATACCCATGTAAAAGTGGCTGAAATTTCATGTGATACTGACTGACTTATGTGGGTGTTTGTTATGTATGTCCTCAGCATCAGCTGAGAGACCTCCTGTATTCTGCTGTATTCTGCTGTATGTGGATACACATCTTAACTCTCTTGTCTGTTTTAGGCTGATACAACTGATGGAAGAAATCATGGCAGAGAAGGAAAACAAGACTATCATCTTTGTGGAGACAAAGAGGCGATGTGATGATCTCACCCGAAGGATGCGCAGAGACGGGTGATTAGCTTCTCCCCTCCCTCCACTTTCTCTAGTGGGAAACAGAAATCCTAGTCCAAAGCAGTAGGGTTTAAATGCTTATGATGCTATTGTTGGGAACAGCTTGTCCATTATTTTCTTGGCTGAAGTCAGTCATTGTTTCCCAGAAGATTCCAGTCCATCAAAGCATTAGTGCAAGAGAGTGTCTGTAAGCAGTGTAAGTAAGTAAGTGTGTCAGAATCCTGATATGGTGATTGGGACTGTCTCCATACAGCAAATGTGATTTGGTTTGGATGGCTGTTTAGGTAGTGGGTTTACAGTACACATGCTGGGTAGGGAGAGGCTAGAGGAGGACAGGGAATAAAACATTTCTCAAATCTTAGGTTTTGCCTTTTTAACAAGAAGCCAGTAAAGCTTCATGTTGCTTTTAATGTATGTACTTTGTGTCTGTACTAATGTGCATCTCTCTTTGGCAGTTGGCCAGCTATGTGTATCCATGGAGACAAGAGTCAGCCAGAGAGAGATTGGGTGCTTAATGGTGAGTCTGTCAATTGGGGGGAGAATGACTGGGGCTGCTGCATCTAATTTACCAAGATGTATTTTTCTCCAGCCTTTTTTTAAGCTCTGTAGCCAGTAGATGCATTTAAGAGAACTTCCTTTGCCTCTCTACTCTTGATTTCAGCGCTTGTATTTGCCATTGGTTGTTTTTGTGGCAAATCACAATGGGAAAATAGCTTTATTAGTGGAGGCATTAAACCCTGACTTGCTGGGTGTTCTGGAAGTGACCTGTCTTACCTAGCTTCTGGAAAGTGACCATTTAGTGTAAATCAAGTCAGGTAACTTTATCTTTTTGAAAAATCTTACTTCATAGCATGCTTTGTTTTACAGAGTTTCGTTCTGGAAAGGCTCCTATCCTCATTGCTACCGACGTGGCATCTCGTGGGCTAGGTTTGTACACATAGACCACTCTTGCCTACTGCTGCATATTTTTCTTCTTTGGACTGAAAAATGTTTTTTTATTTAAAAAAAAAAAATTCAAAGCGTGATTTTCCCCCACATGTGAAATACCTTTTTTAACATTAATCTTCTTTTTTTCTTTCATATTCAAAGTCTCTTCCTGCTCCTAATGAACAGGCTTTGGTCTGCAGCAAGGCCTAGGCATGACCAATCGATCGCCAAGAGGGAGAAGAGACGTCCAATTATGCAACCCAACCCTTCCACCACACTCACTTCTTCCCCAGATCCAGCTTTTGTTGCTGGATGGTTAGGGATGGATTGCTCTCAGTTCAGATCAAAGTCTCAGATCAAGTAGGAAGTTGTTGGAGAGCATTTTGACAGCAAATAGCAAATATTCTCCCTGTATGACACACCACAGATTCGAACATACCAAGCCCAGTGTACATGCATGTTTACCCCACAGATGTATTCACATCTGAGACAGCATTGCTCCAGATCTTTGGTCTTGACATGTAACCTTCCCTCCTCTGTGTTCCTTCTAGGCAGGACCACTGAGACGATATATGGCCTTTAACACCTTGTTACCCAGATGTGTAATTGAATCAAAATCGCACAGCTCTATTCTGGTGGTATGAAAATGATCTGTCTGGATGCATTAGTTGTGCCCCCTTTTATAATGAGCATATCTGTCTGGTGAAACTGTGTGCAGAGCACAGTCCTTACACATTGCCCACTCTAGAAGAGGAGCATGACTTCTGAAGGGCTCTGAGTTTTAACAGCAGACATTGAATACTCTGCCCACCCTGAGTTTCGTAGAAGATAAACTGCTTGGGGGTCAATGTCTCACTGTAGTAAATTTTAGACCAAATTACTGCAAACCAGTGCAGATTAACTCAGAGGCTCTAGTTTGTTAACAACCTCAGTTACCTGAGCTCCCTTCATATGCTGAAAGGGTGGCTGTGCTGTGCATCGTATGGTCACTTTAACATAGGCAGACCATTACTAGGCTTGGCAGCCTTTGTTCACACAACCTTCACCCCTCCTTCCCCTCCCCCCTCAAAAAATGTCCAGCACTTCCTCAGGAAGTGATTCTATGGACTTCAGTCTCTGCCCTCTAGGGTCATGTCTGGACCTGTGCAGTTAGAACTTGGGCCTGTTGGGAGAAGGGACTGAGGCCTGAAACCAGTTTGTATGAAAGAGAGCTGCTTTCTCTAGCAGCATTTTTTAAACAGGCTTGCTATGTGCTGGTAGCTTCTTTGTGCATCTTGCCTAGACATTTAAAACAGCCTCACCTCCCCACCAAAAAACCAAACCAAACCACTCCCCCCAAAACGACTCAATTGGATAACACTTCAGAAAACAGTCTCCCCACTTCCCATCCTCCACCTCACCGGAGCGAAGGGGGAAAGGTATCAGAGTCTGTTTCTTGTTACTGAACAACATCTCTGCTTGTTTCGGGGCCCTGAGTTTGCTGCTTCTTAAAATAAGTCCCTTAACTGGCAAACTTCTGGACGACTTCCTCCAAGATCCTGGAAAGTGAAGGCTTCTACCTAAATAACATAAAACAGGGGCGCGCGCCTTTTGGCTGAGTCACCAGGGCTTTCCCTCTTCCTAATGGAACATTGGTTTCAAAAAAAGCTTCTTCCAGGTAAGTTCTGAGTCCCGTAATGACTTCTTTGTGGTAATTCCCTGGAGTGAGGTCCTCTCTCTGCACTGATTTTTTTTATTTTTATCTTTTTTTTTCTTTTTTTTTTACTTTTTTGGTTCAGTCTATTAAACTAAAAACGTTGAATTTGTTTTGTTTTGTTTTCTTTAACAGAAGCTTTGATATCAGCTGCAGATCATTCTCAGTGCAGGGGTGGGGGCACATCTACATTGATGGTCTAAAGAGCTCTCTAGACTAGCATGTTTGCTAGTTTATTGCCTCTCCCAGTTCATAATTGGAGACTGTCTGTACCACAGGGTGTTCTGATGGTCTGACAAAGGGAATGTTTCCCAGGTAGCTGTCAAAAATGATGTACAGTCTCAATTCTTGATCCTGCTACATTATCTTCTGAAAGTGCAGGAAGATTGTGAGTGTGCACAAACACTTTGGAGCATGCTAGACTGGAGAAGCCGAGTCTTGTATGTACTCTGGTCTTTCCTTCAGCGAGCTGCGTGCTCTACCAGGACCACTCTAGTCTGGAAAAGACCCTTGCATCTTCCTCTTCCCATTCTTCCCACTCCTCCCCAGGCAAGTCAATTCTGTCTGCATTAGTAGCTGCAATTCCCTGTGCTTTCTGCCGGGAAAGCACATCCTTGTATCCTCCCTGGTAATTCAAGTCACTTGCTCCTGGATGTGCCAGATGGGGCTGACTGAGGACCGTGTAGCCTGGAGTGGTCAGTCAGTCGCTCCCGGCTGAGAAGATCAGTCTGTCAGATGTACTCCTCTCTTTACTTCACTTTCCCCCTTAAAACCCTGTCGCATCAAGGACCCTAGCTGGAGACTCGCGCAGCCCCCTGTGAAACCTGCCTTCTCACTCCCTTTTTTTGGTGTGATTCAGGACTTTGGAGCCAGCAAAGACTGAGGAGCCCCCCCTTTGCTGTAATAAGAAACAGACATAAAGTCCCCCGTCTTGTCACTACAACCCTCATGTTTTTATTTTTCCTACAACCCCTTTGAAATTGATGCAGTCTGGGCAATAGATGCAGTCTGACCCTTTGGATGTAATTTTTGTATCTTCATTTTTTTGACAATTGCCCCTGAGAGCCCCAAATAGGGGGACAAAAAGCGTTGGAGGACCTGAAACTTTTACCTGAAGCCAGGTTCTCCGGCGCTTCACAACCAAATGGGGCTGCAGAGAAGCGTCTAAGCCAGTTCACAGAGCGAGCGTGTGTGGGGACTTCTCGCTGCCACGGACCCTTGATGCATGCTCCCCGCGCTCCAGTGGTCCCGTGTCAGAGGGCGGAGTTTTCGAAAGGAGGCCGCCAAAAATAAAAGGCAAAGAGACGGGATCGGCTGCAGCGGTTTCCCACAGGAGGAGGGAGTGTGCATCGGTCTGGTAACAAACAGAGAATGTTTCTCTCTTTAAAAACAAAACAACAAAAAAAAAAAGGAAAGGAAATCACAAAAAAAAAAATCTGTGTTTTAGCTTGGATATTTTCAGAATATTCTTGTTAAAATGCAGATTTTAAATTTTTTTTTTTTTGTGAGCTGTTAGGGCACTTAAAATTGTGTAAAACATCGTGTATTGTAGTAACTAGGTGCTTTTTGGTACTTAAGGTGCTTCCACGGAAGTGCTGCACTAATATTTACTTTGCTCCTGTCCCTTGAGGTTACAGAGTCTGTTCACACAGCATGCAATTCTGGCCTCCTAAATTCTAATAGTGCTCTGCATATAAAGCAGTTTTGGTCATTTTGTTTCCTGCTTCTGCCTGACTCTGGAAGTAGGGAATTGCTAACAGAATTCAGGGTTGTCAAATCACCCCAGCTTGGCAGAATTGGGCAGAACAGCACAGTGAAATGTTAGTGCAATGCATTCTGGTGGTGACTACAAAGCTGAGCTAAGATACTTTAGGTCTGAATAATTTTTAATGAGGTGGCTGAATAGTACTAATGTAATTGGAGTGCCTTAAGCTTTAGGCTAGGGAAATAAGCTCACTGTGTTTTATTAGGACTGTAAAAGCAAGTATTTTTAAGATTGCTTTTTATTTCATGTTACCGAGTGGAAGGTAAGTGATCTCATTACCGTTATGTTTTGTTAGACTTCTCCCAACAGAGTAAAAGCTTTACCATGGCAGTCCTGCCCTTCCTCCACCCCAATTTGCTCTGTCTGATCATGGCATTTTCACTTTACAGTGTGTGTTTTCATTCAAAACAAAAAAAAAACCCCAAAATTACATTAGCTTATTCATAACCTTTTGTATCTTTAACACAGGAAGACAGAGGAATGCATTCCGGGGAGGATGACTTTGAGTGCAGGGCAGAGCTGCTTTAAAATTCCCACTGTTTTTCAGGACACTGACCTTTGTTCCTGATGATCGTGAAACTGAGTCTTCTACTCTTTTGGGATGAGTCTGTCTTGTATTTATTCCATGCAATTACTAACTTTGTATTTTTTTTTCTTATTACTGTCACCTGCATCCGTGCTCCCCACCTTTCGTTGGCACGTCCTCTCTTCTTCTCCCCTTTCCTCAACCCCACCCCTTCACTGTGCTTCGCTCCTGGGCACTTCACAAGACGTGGAAGATGTAAAATTTGTGATAAACTACGACTATCCGAACAGCTCCGAAGATTATGTGCACCGCATTGGCCGTACGGCACGTAGTACCAACAAAGGTACTGCCTACACCTTCTTCACACCAGGAAACCTGAAACAAGCCAGGGAGCTTATCAAGGTGTTGGAAGAAGCCAATCAAGCCATCAATCCAAAGCTGATGCAGCTTGTGGACCACAGAGGAGGAGGAGGTGGTGGTGGAGGTAAAGGCGCATGGGAGAAGGGCTGCACAGGGAATAGGTTCCCCATTTTGAGGGAGGGAGACTAGAAGAGGGTTAGGGGAGTGGTAAGTGCAAGTCTCAGGTAACAAACAGATTAGTAATAAAGCTGTTTTGCGCTCGTAGTCACAACACATTTCTGTCCAGCAGAGAGGCAGTCCACTCTCACCTTAGCTGTAGTTTTATTTTCTCCTGGTAAGTCCTCACAGGGCTGATTTCGCTTGAATTAATGAATTCCTTGCTGTTCCTACCTAAGCAGAGGCAACAAGACACGTGTGTGTGTGCACGTGCAAAATTGAAATCGGTACAGGGATACACCGACTTACCTTCAGGGACTGAGGCTATTTTTCCTCCTGTTTCCTGAAGGAATAAGAAGTTTCCTTATATTTCCAAGTTAGTCCTGAATTTCTTCTATTTCTCTGTCTTCAAGCACATACACAAAGAACCCTTGTTGAGCTTCACTGTGACCAAAGTGAAGAGGAGTATGCAAAGCTGTACAGGGAAGTTTAGGAGAACTTGCTCCTTGTGGGCAAAACTGGGAATGTAGAAGGGGGAGAAAGGGTGGTGTAGTTGTACCAGAGTTCATTGTCTAAGACTTGTTCACGGTACTAAATCTTAATATATCCATCGCCAGGAGGTCGTTCTCGTTACCGAACGAGCAGTTCAGTAAACAACCCTAACCTGATGTACCAGGAAGAGTGTGACAGGAGGCTCCGGGGAGTGAAAGAGGGCCGGAGAGACTCAGGTGGCTTCAGAGACCGTGAGCGTGCTGACAGTTACGCCAACGGAGCCAACAAGACCTATGGCGCTGCCTACGG